GCAAACGGTACTCACCACTCACATTTTTATATTAATTTGAGAGAAGCACAATCTAAATATTATTTTTACAAGAAAGTGTAAAGTAGATTTTACATGGCTTGAAAATACTTGAGTTATAATATTTCAAAACAGTAATATTTAATTTTTGTTTAGTTAATTAGAAATCGACGTTTAAATATATTAAGATTAGCATTTAAACACCTCTTAAGTTGCGAGTGTGTTTTCGGGATATAAGGCAATAAAATTTAATATAGCATCTTCACCAGTATTCATAAAAATAAACTAAAAATAAACCTGTATATATATTTTTATGAGCAATAATGCACTGAACGAAGTACAACAATCTGCAGTAACGTTTCTAGGTTCCGAATCAAAGTATCCTTTGCTTCTAATAAGGTTTTCAAATCTTGAGCGTCTACTGTTGTTGATGTACAGGAGCAGCCACCACGTGGTGAGGATGATGTAGCGTACTAGTTGGTGACACTGGATTGCTAAACGGAAACACACTCTGAAACATGTCTAAATGGGACCGGAGCTCTTGAATTTCATTGTTCCTGGCCTGCAGTAACGTTTCTAGGTTCCGAATCAAAGTATCCTTTGCTTCTAATAAGGTTTTCAAATCTTGAGCGTCTACTGAAGCTGCCATGTCTGTATAAAAATCAATAAAAACAAATTGTTATTATTAAATATAATGTATAGGTAGTTTATAATACTTATTGATTTACGTATACACAAATAGAATTTCATTTTTCCAATAAGTATAAGTTAATAATTATAACGAAAATTTTAATTAAAATAAATAAATAATGAAAATGTAAATCCCTGTTGATACTTTAAGGGAAGCTTTAATCGATGCGCTATTAGATCAATTAATTATTATTTGAGATTCATTGTTTATAAGTTATAACTACTTATAACAAAGGAAAATTATTATATGCCAATTTGTTTTACCAGTTTTTCATCAGTTATATCCGTAATGTCTATATAGTTCCATCATTATATTATTATGTCAAGCATGTCTAAGTCCATTCTTTATAAAGAGATAAACATGTAGGTGATTTCTAGTTATGTAACTCAACAGCAAAAAAATAAGCTATACGGAAATCAAAAATTATTTAAGAAAATGCTACACTTAAATCTCCGTCTAACAAATGTATATCATAACAAATTTATTTTTAGTATAAACGATTTTATGTAATTAACATTAATAATAGAGCGAAATGGACTACTATACTAAAGGTAAGAATATTATCTATTATCTCTTATGTGTTTTTTACAATATTTTATTTTTATAATACTTAAATATAAAAATACTCATAACTTGCTTAAAAATTCTAGCATCATAAAATTCTGAAGAGAGATAACAGATAATATTCTTAATTAGAATTTCTTACCAATTTTACCTTTAGATTAAACAATAAGTCAATTCGGTCTAATATTAAAGTTAATAACACTATATCTAATGGAAGCAAATTTGCTATGTTGTATGTTCCAAAACGAAGATGAACAATACATGTGGGTGTAGGAACTGTAGGATCATAAAATAAGTAAATTTAAATATTTATTTTTAACTCGATGAAGGAAATTTTCTTTAGACTTAATTGGGATTACATTTTTTAATTAACTTTAAATAGCGCCAAAAAAATAAATTAATAATACTAAATAAGGTTAAACATTATAAATTGTAATACTAAATATTAATAACATTTTAATAACTGTATTTTTGAAATTGAGTAAGAACATTTTTTTTTTGTTTAGTCTGTCTGATTTATTATAAAATATAAAAAATATTAAGAAATGGGATTATCAAGATATAAAATTAAATTTCAAATTTTAATATACAAAAGTTTTATAAATAATATTATAACTTTCACAAAATATTGTAATCAGATTAATTCAAAAACAATTGTTGAATGACTATTTCATAAAATATTAAAAAACGTAAGTAGTTAGTATAGGATATTTGTTAAACATTCATTATTAAATGACGAATTAACATTCAAAAAAGTTTCAATATAATAGTGTGTATGTAATTAAGTTCTGAAAACGTTTTAATATTTCTTAATTTTCAAGGTAAACCTACATTTTATTAATAATTGTAATTGGGCAGTTAAATGTAGATAATATACATAATTAAGGAACACTAGTAACAACATCAAAGAATTCATAAATCATAAAATTAAAATAATAAAATAATAATATTCAAACATTTCTAATACAAAATATTATAATTTATAATACTTCTTATGATGTATTTTAATTTTAATTTTAAAATAGTTATCAAGTTAAAATTAATCGAAATATCCCTCTTATGTAGAAGAACTATAGGTACATAAATAAATTGTTATACAATGTTTTATTATATAACATATTATAAATTATTTAAAGAAAACATAAAAAAAAAGATATTTTTAGTTTTTACACCTACGTGTAGCGTAATTTATACAAAACAAGAAAATCGTATACAAACGCAAATAATTTAAAAATAAGTGAACATGATAAAATATAATGCTATTAAACAATATTTGTATTGCTGAACACATAAATAAGTTTTAAGCAATTAAAGTAATAAGATGTAAAACAAATAAATTGTAAAACCTTCAATCAATAGCTCAACTATGAGATAAAATTATTTTAAACGTTACTTATGTTTAATTTTAGTTTAAATATGATAAGATTAAAATTTTCTCTTGATTATATTGTATGTTATACACAATAAGTCATTCGACCTGATACATAGTAATAAATCATTTTTGGTATGACTCATCAGTCCTCACCAAAACAACACGAACCTACTTTTGAGTTCGATACCTAGCAAGAATTGTTTATTAACTTTAATTTATAAATAAATATGAGGATATTTATATTTGGATTAAATAACAAACAAACTAAAATTTATTTTTCAGTATTGCTTAAGATAGATTGAGTAATACTACCAAATAAAAATAATTGTATTTTAAATTTTTATCAGGGCTTAAACGTTTTTATATAAAATTTCAGAAAATATGAATCGTAAAAAAATTTTAAAACTATTGTTGAAAATTTTCCAGAAACAAACAAATATACTAAATTTTTAATTTCCCATCAAATGTTGATCTTGACAGTTCAGTTACATCTTTTCAGAAACAATTTTAGGATCTGAATAGATTATACATATTTGATATTATAATGATATACTGTACACTGAAATTATTATAAACAATGATCAGATCGAACTAATGATTAGTAATTTATTTAATATAATATTGTATATTATTAGTTGGCACTATCTAAATTATTCGTATATAATGTAATTTTAAAGTGCAATTTATAAATTAGTTACATAATATTATTTAATTATATTCACTCTTTTAAAAAAAAATATTATTGATATTTGATTAAAGTATATAGATGTGTAGTAGGTAATGAATTATAAGTAAATTGATAGTAATGATAGTATCAAAAAAGACTAAATAATTACTTTAAAAGCATAGGCAGATATTGGAAAAAATTTAGAAGACTAACTTCACAAAACTAGAAAAGCAGTTCATATAAAAATAAATATAAAACAACAATTTATTCATTTATAAGTGCAAATTTAACTCCAAGTTTATCCCAACATGTATAATATGAAAAAAAATAATATTAAGTAATACTTAAATAAATTCAACTCTTGAATACTCATTAAATTAATATAAAAATAAAAGTTATTAAGATAGCCGTATATTATTTTTATATTGTCAACTCGTCAATAATATTGTATACTCAAGATATTATACACCACGATCACGACTACCACGTATAGCTAAATATTATAATATGCTGTACAGTGTACAGGTTTATAATTTTATAAGAAAAATGTAAAATAAAAAGAAACAGCAAGAGGATAAATTTAATATCAGTATAGAAACTACGTAAACGTTAAAAATAACATAACAATTTTAAGGCAAAAGACCCTATTTGAAAATTTAACAGGGAGATCAAATGTTCAAGAGTACTAAATAACTGATGGCATAACTAATAAAACGGTTTTAACCTTGACCACAAAATATATTCGATATGTTTAACGTAACTTGTACATATAAAATATTAAAATATAATTTGTGCATTACAAGTGCATCATAAATTCATAACAACTAAATATTTTTTGTTTGTTATTAAATAATAAAAATAGCCCATTATCTAAATAATATATACAGCATCTACAATAAACAATGTTTTTTACACTATCTTTTACGAGTAATTACTAACTTAAGATTAAGCTAGTTAAGGTAATATTAAATAAAGATCTATATTATGTCTTTCATATGGTTAGTTATAAAATTAATACAATGCATTTATTAGTCGTTTCTATACACATAAAAATTATTACTGACTCATCAGATAATTAACTCATAAAAATGAAATAAAACACATTATTAAAAATGAAAATTTCACCAAAACATTTGTAAACCTCTAACAAATTTAAAAAATTTAAAATGAAACCCGAAAATAATTTATTTAAAATCACAAGTATGTAAGATTTGAAGGGATAATGAGGAATATTAAAACACATAAAAACGTGAAAGAAAGCGATAGTAAACGGTTGTCCAGCAGAAACCAGTTTAGTTTATAACATAGACACCGGTTTTTGTAACAGCTACAGAATTTATGTAAAACTAATTTTAAAACGTGACTATGTTAACCAACAAACAAATACATCTCTTTCTTCGTTGATAATCATCCAAAAACGATGAATTAAAATGACGGAATATATTTATAGAAATAGTATTAATACTGCACATTATTAAACAAGTTTTGGTTCTTCAGTTAAAGTTTCGTAGGCAAAATCCAACACCAACGTTTAGAATCATAATAATATATCTATTAAAATCGAAAGACATGATCCGTAGGCAAATATATTCACTAGATTTGTTCGGATTTAAGTAGAAAATTAAAAAAATTGTTTAACTATAACTTAGTTATTGAAAACAGGATATATTTTATTAATTTGTATAGTATTTTATTCCCTGTATCTTAAAAAATAAAAAATGAATACAATATAGGTAATACATAATTAAGTAAAAAACATAGGTACATATTATACTGAGTAGTCAATCTTGATATTAAAAAATAAATAATTTATGACAATAAACTAATAATTTTTCTAAAGAACATATTTACATAATTATTTCTGAATAATTATTATTGAAACAAAAATAAAGTTTTAATTTTTTTTTTTTACTTATTTTTTTACTTACGTTAAGTTTATGAACTGTCATATATTTTTTTAATTAATTTTTAAATAAGTAGATATGATTTATATATTATATACTCAGTTTTCGTCAAGTTTTTGTTATTAACTAATTTATTGAGAACTCATTTCTGTAACCATAAATGGTAATAAAAAAAAAACTAAGAAATGCTAAAATCCCAAAATATAAATTATTTTAACAACTCAATATCAAATGGTCACTAACACTCAGATACTGACTGATACTAATATGTTGCTTATGAACACCATAATAATATCGCCCTCTAAATTAATCTTTAATATATTATTATAACAAAACGCTCTTCGATAAGATTAAAAGTATGTAAGAATGTTATTTATGTTGATAATATAATTTATTTCACTATCACTCTATTTTTTTTTTTTTTTTTTTTTTTTTTTTTTTTTTTTTTTTTTT